ATCTCGTTTACCACTTTAGCAGAATGATATTTACAGAGCTACCTGGATCAATCAAAACTCGTTTTACGTTAGTATCATGTACAAGTAAAGTTATTACCGGTGCATCATTGTGTGGGATCAACACGCCATCTGCGTTTGCATCATCAAATGTTATACTGTTTTCTTCCACAACTTGGCGAACTCGCTTCCCATGGGTAACTGTGATTTTTGACACTTTTTTTGCTGCCGTATATGTTACGTCGTTGACCTCCTCTCCGCCGCTTATGACATTAACTGTTCTTTTCGGTGATGGAGGTTTTGATGGCTCCTGCCTATTCTTCATATATGCTTGCTTACCTTTCTCACTAAACAATTCGGTTAAGTAACCTTGCTTTAATAATCTACAATCCGCTGTTTTGTGGCCATGATCATTGTGAAACTCGCACCAGGAATCGGGGTTTCTCATGTTCGGGTTTGATCTCATTTCTTTTGGCCACCGTATTTTATCTCCCATGCTTCTTAGAACAGCTACCAACTCAGACGTGCTAACATTGAAGCTGTAACCACCAATCTTTGCTTTTGAGCTTCTGTCATTGTCTCTCGTATCTCGGGTATCGCGCTTCTTTCCGAACTTGAACGACGAACCCAAATCTTTGTCCCTTGATCTGGAATCATACCTGGGATTTTCTTGTTTTGAACGTGAATCTCTACCTGCTGGTCCCATATAAGGTTCGTACCTGTTTTTACCGGACCTTTTTTCAGTTTCTGACCGTCTTGAGCTTACTCTTTCATCTCTCCGGGACTGAGTGATAGTGTCTTCTTCTATCCGTAGCTTCGTGTTGTACCTGTTGTAAACATCATTCCAAGTTGTTGCAGGGAATTATCGTAAGCTTTCTTTGAGTCTCCTTATGGCTTCTAAGCTTTTTTCATTCAAATTGCTTGCAAATGCCATAGCCGCCCAATTGTCAGGTACGCGCGGTAGCATCATCCTTTCACGTTGGAACCTATCTACGAATTCCCTGGGTAACTCCGTATCTCCTTGTTTTATTTTGAAGATGTCTTCCATCCTCTTCTCAACTTCTTGAGCTCCCGAGTGTGCTTTTATAAACGAATCTGCAAGCTCAGCGAAAGAATCAATAGAGTTTTCAGGTAAAAGAGAACACCATGTTAATGCTCCCTTTGTGAGCGTTTCACCGAATTTTTTGACTAGTATTGATTCAATCTCTTGCTTGGTCAAATCGTTGCCCTTTACGCCAGCTGTAAATGCTGTCACATAATCTCGGGGATCGGTTGTCTCATCGTACTTTGGGATATCGGGCATTTTATACTTCTTCGGAATAGGCAAAGGAGCGACACTTGGCTTTCAAGGTTGTTGAGAGTATTGTCCATATCTACTCCTTTGATTATAGGTGGAACACCAGGTATCTGTTCTATGCGTTCGTTCTGCTCCTTGAGCTGTTTCTGAAAAGTTAGTACTAGCCTTTGTAAATCAGAATTAATTGGGATACCTGACTCTCCATCACGAGATTCGCTGGGAGTTCCTCCGTTGCCCGAATTAGCAAGCCCTGAGCGTGCATTCTCTATGGTCGCGGTGTTGTTTGGAGGAGGAGTCGGTGGTACGGTTGGTAACCCTAACAAAAGCTTGCAGAGCATTGCTGACTTGTTTTGCAATTAACTATTTCAATGCTGCATCGATGTCTTGATCGTCCCCATGTTGATCATTCACATGCGATTCAGATCTATCAGGTGTCCCTTCTCGTGATTGTCGAGGAGAGTTTCGTGGTGAGGGGACTGGAGTTCTATCTCCCTGTTGATTATGCTAATTCAACTATTGTTGATTTTGTGGGTCTTGCAAGATTTGTTGGTTGTTGTCGTTGGCGTTTGACATGATTTTTTTGCAGAAGAATGGATTTGGAAAGTGAAAAGATTATCAGATTCCCGGTAACAGAATTAATTTGTTTAACCAAAAAATAAGAATTTCGGTCAAAGCCTATTTTTAGAAGTACTCATGTTACTGATAATCAAGAAAAGGAATATTCTTGTAATAAGAAAGGAAAATTAAAGTATGGAATAGTAAAGTAATCAATATAAAGCAGAAGTAAATAATTGTATTCCAATAATAATCAGAACGTGTCCATACAAATGACATTTCTATTCCTTATATAGACATTTCTAAGTAGAATGTCTTTTCCCCTTTATGACTAAGTCATTATGAGCATTAATGACATTAATGAAATATTATAATTGGTAATTGTAATTGTTTCATGAAGATTATGTAATGTTTGTAATCATTCATGGCCATTAATTGAAGTCTAATGAATCTATCCTTTTTCTTGTCTTGGTTCATTTCACCGGTGTCTTTTCAGATTACTGAGAGACTCGAGCAACCGTTCCTTCTTATCCCTCAGACGTTTTGCTCATACCTATTAAGACTCACGTCTTTTTAAGTACTCTTCTCCAAGTGTCATTTTTCTAATGATCCACGTGTCTTGCCATGTCAGCCACACAATTAATTTCAAGTGTAATGTTTATTTTTCCCAAATACAGTAACAAAATTAATATTTTCTTCCAACTTTAAACTTTGAATGTTTTCCTTATCATATCTCAAAATCCGATAATTAACAAGTGATCTTATATGCCAAGTCTATTTATACCCTCAAATTATAAACCTTTTACTACTTTTTTAGATTTTTTTTGTGGTATCATTTCTGTTATTGACTTATGTTTCATATGTTAATCCAATAATTTTACAAACTAATGTTGTTGATAACAAATTAACACAATCGACATTCAATATTCGTATAGTAAATTTTAATCAAAGAACAATTAATTACTTATGTAGTAGATATATTTTTCAAAAAAAAATATAGAAATTGAAGGTTTTTGAAAAGAACAAACAAAGTCATAGATCCAAGACCTATAGGGAAGGAATGGAATTACGCATGATAATTTGATATATTTCGTTATGGGAGGAATGTCAAGATCAAGGAAAATATGGAATATATATATTTGATACATTATGAAAGAGAATATGAGAGATTTCGAACATTATATATGAAGAGACACTGAGTCTAATATGATCGAGATATTTTTTTAATGTTGGAATTTGGTGCATAACAAATGTCCACATTTAATGAAAATATCTTAGTAATATGTTGCTTAAGAGAGTGTTATGATTGAGTTGTTGCAACTTTTTGAAAGGAAAAAAGATATAACAAACATAAGATTTGAGGAAGATCAAAAAATATTTGTCCAAGCTCTACTAGCGTATGGAAAATTGAAAATAGATTTAAAATTGGGAATTCATTTTGCTATAAATCTGAATTGAGATACTATGGTTATGTCAAGTAAAGTATTGTTGGTGTTGGGAATGTACAACAAAATAATGGGGGGAAAAGTTGTTATGAAAAGAATTCTACAAAAGAAGATTTGCTGAAATCCAAGAAGATCAAGATGCTAAAATCATTCATGGAAGGATATTAATTATGAATGTAGTACACATATGGAAATAAAATAATTCAAAATCTATCAATCACATAAGATGAAATTAAATTACATTTCATTTGGAAAGTATTTGAATTCAATTTGAACTAGAAGTAATAATTAGGTAATAGAGATTATGAAAATTTGAGGTAGAAGAGAGTTGTGAAAAGATTTAAAAATTAGAACTTAAAAAATTTGAATTTACATATTATGGTTGTGTGAAGAAAAATATTCTTGGGCACTTTAAAATTTGTGGGGGGAAAACAACCATGAAAAGAGAATGTGAAGAAGATTTATTGAAAATCCAAGAAGATTGAGTTGCTAAAATCATTTATGGAAGGATATTAATAATGACTATAGAGCATAAATGGAAATAATAATACAAATCCACCTTGACATGAGATTAAATCAAATTATATTTAATTTGAAAAGCATTTGAATTCATCTAGAATTGGAGGTGAAAAATTAATTTACTCGATTTCTTGAGTCAACAAAGGACATTTAGAAATCTAATAAAAAGGAAATATTATTTTTAAAAAAAATAAACTAAGTTAGAAATACTATAAATTAGTAATTATTATTTAACTGTGAAATCTTTTATATTTTTAATCATTCGTAGAATTTCGATTGCGCACGTGGCCAAGGTAATTCAATTTGAACTTTTAGAGAAATATGTTTCGTTTGGAATACTAAATGCGAGTTCATTATAGTATTTCTTTTATAGATGATAACGAGCATTTAAAGAGTTAAATTTTATCGAAAAGACAAATTGAAAAGCAAAATTATGGTCATTACATAGTAACTAATACTAAGACATTGGAAAATTGTTTGTTGCTTGGCTTATAGTAGGGTTCAATAATAGTTAGATCACTAGAACTTTCTCGTATAATTAAATCCAGAATAAACAACGTATAGTTTATAATATATACGAATATGCACACACAACTAGGGTTTTTTCACATACAATAAATAAAAATATATCATCTGGTGTAACATTACTTATTAATATACACTTTACTCATCCCATTTTCATGTTATGTCGAGATTTGACTAGTTAGTTATTTTATTTTACTTTTTTTTAAACGTAAAAATCTAATATTTATACAGAAAATAGATGCTTATCGAGAAATAAAATAAAAAAAGAAGTATCTTTTGAGAGTAATATTTTGGACATAATTAGAACAATTTAATTAACCACGATATCTTAAGACAATTACCCTCGATTTCAAACTATGCTACGTGCATGAAATATAACCTATTTTGCTCCATTTGACTATTATATTTTGAAGTTACCACAATATTCATACTATCTATTCACAAGAAAAGAAAAAAAATAATAAATAATATGATAATCAAAAATAAAAGAAAAATTCCAATATAATATAAATTGTGATGAGATGTATAGAATTTTTCTATCAGTTTTCATAGTTAATTTCTTTGAAGGTTTTTTTTTTTTTTTTTTTTTTTTTTTTTTTACCAATGCGGGCAGACAATAAATGAAAAAATAAAATAAAAATGTTGATAATATTTGGCAGTAAAAGAGGTTAATAGCTCCTTCCTAAATCCAGCAGCCACCATTGCCGTTGAGATAGAGAGCCCTAAACCGTGCTAATCTGGTAAACTACCATTGACACTCACGTGCCAATAACACCTCTCTCTTACCAGAAACAGAAACCAGATATATATACATACATTTACAGAAACTGCTCTTCCTCCTATCGGGGAAGAATAAAAAAAATAAAAAAATAAAAATAAAAAAAAAAACAAAAACCCTAAACGAGCCAAAAAAAGAATAAAATTCCCTTTCTTCCTAGCTGAAAACCCTATATATTCCTCTGGGGTTTTGTATTCTCCATCTCTTATTTCTGCGGCGTTGTTCAAACGGTAGCTACATTGTTTCCTCAGGTACCCTTTCATTTTCGTTTTCACTTTTTGATTTTGGGTTTAATTACTTCTGTTAGAGAAGAAGAATTTAATTACCTATGTTAATTGTTGATAACTACCTCTTTTTAAAGTAAAGATTGGTTCTTTATTGGTTTCTTGGTTTTAATTTCGTGTAAGAATCGAGTTGCTTTATATGGTATTCCAATTGGTGGATATTCATTGTGGTTAAATGGAGAAAATGTTGACGGGTTTATTCATTTGGTAGCTATTGAGGTGAAAATTGAAGTTTTTTGATACTTCTCTGTCAAATGTTCATTTCTGGGGATTGTTTAATTTTTGATGATGGTGGTGTCCAGGTCAGCTTGCTCGCACCTCGTCTATTCTGCCTGGTACCTGCTACCTCCCACCAGCACAGGTACCGGGTAACTCTATCCACCAAGTTGAGGTAGATGGAAAGAAATCAGAAATCACCTAGTGTTTTTTGTGGGGATTGTTTATTGTTTTTCCTTTTCTACTTCTTAATTTTGCCCCTTTGGAGAGAAGGAAGAGACAGGTGGTGGTAGTGAGGTTTGGAACTTGTTCTGATTGGAATTGTCCTATGGGAATGAATTCTAGGGGATGATGTCGCAGGACTGTGAAGAAATTATAATTGAAGAAAAGCAAGTAAAGATAGAAGTAAGAGCCTTAATTGGATGTTCACATAGGCAACAAAATGGAAATGAACCACTGACCTCCTATTTAGATTCATATATGGGGTTTTGTGGCAGGGTAATTAATGTTTATTAATTAATGTAACTTGATCAACTTGCTGCGGTTTTTTATTTTGAGCGGAATATACTACTAATGAAACCATCTCCTTGGAGGTGCATGTCTTATTGGAATTCGGAAAAGTTTACTTACGAAGGTTTTGCTGTCTGTTACTTATGCTTGTCTTCTGAATGAATAAAGTTTCTGTCTTATTCACTACATTTACACTTTTAAGATTTTACCTTTATTCTTGCATTAGTTCTGAGAAGGCCTATAAACAGTTTTTCTCGGATTGGGCAGCTCATGTCGGGAGGTCCTATGGCGATCGTCAAACCAGAGGTATGAGAGACCATAAATTTTTATGTTCAAACGACACTTGACTGTATTTATTTATCTAGTAATAGAAGTATGAGAGACCATGAGGTGTGAGCTCATGTCGCGGTTATGATCTATGTGAATATTTGGACACTCTTTTAATTTTTATTCCTTTTATCCTCAATCAATCCCATTCCGTTTAAAGGCTGTCTTGTATCAGTTGCTCTTTCAGGCTGTGAGTTGCATTCACTTAAGGTATTATGAGATGCCACAATTTGGGAATAGCAGTTTTTTTGTGTTAAGATGAACTGGCTCTGCTGATATACTTTTTTTTAGACATATTTTAGATTTAAAGATGGATACTGCATGGAAGAGCTAGGTGTTTCTTAGTTTAATGATGCCATGTTGCATCACCGCACAAGATATGTTGTATAGATCATTGCGCTGAAATGTTGTAAGCGTTGATCCAGTCGGAGAACTGATATTGGGCAGCTCTAATGCGGGCACTGGTGGCATAATTTTAGTTGCCATTAAGTGTTATTATTTAAAGACATGTTATTTCTTCTGGATACTTTTTGCATGGGAAAGTCGTGTGACATCCTCTGTCACTGTCCAAGTTTTGGGCATAGATTTTTAGTGTATTTCCACTGCTCCCCATATTATATGTTCCAATCAAGTGACCTTTTCCAAATTACTCTTGCTAATTTGCTTTGCGGTTCTTCCGTTCAGATGAAGTCATACATCTGGCTCCAAACAGCTGATGGTTCAATCCAACAAGTGGAGCAAGAGGTTGCCATGTATTGCCCTGTGATATGCAGGGAAGTAGCTCAAAACAGCACGGGATCCTCGAAAAATAATGCAGTTGTACTTCCTGAACGAGTCAATGCTGCTGTCTTAGGGTTAATACTGGATTTTTGTCGGTTCCATCAAGTTACTGGCCGTTCTAATAAGGTCTATTTCTTGCTTCCTTGTTAACAATGCATGTCCTTTCCCCACAATGAAGGAAAATCAGAGCTCAGTATGTTATGTGTAGGTTTTATGTAATAGGATGTTCAAGCATTTGCTTTCCACTAAGTGCAACAGTTGTCTTTTACGTATGTAGGAGCGCAAGATTTTTGATGAGAAGTACATCCGGTTAGATACCCAGAAGTTATGTGAATTGGCTTCTGCTGCTGACAGCCTTCAACTAAAGCCTGTGGTTGACCTTACAAGCCGTGCACTTGCTAGGGTGATTGAAGGCAAAACTCCCGAAGAAATACGTGAAACTTTCCATTTGCCTGATGATCTAACAGAGGTCTGTCTCGCTAGCATAGAACTTTGATAGCTCGCTACTTCCATATTGTTTTTATTCTTACATGGAAGTGGTATTTCGTCAGGAGGAGAAGTTGGAGCCTTTGAGAAATATGACGGATGATCCACGTATCCGCCTTCTAAATCGACTCTATGCAAAAAAAAGAAAAGAATTGAATGAGAGAAAGAAACTAAAGGTGCTTTGACATTTAGCTCTTGTTTGAATCTTTAATTGTGGTTACTTAAGTTGACGCTAATTATTGCGTGATTGTATATGCATCAACTCTTGTTTTGCATCAATTCATTAATGGGGAACTGCTCTTCATTTGCATTTTCCAGAATGTTGAGGTGGAAGAACAGCAACGTGTAGATGAAAGATCCGTTGATGATCTTTTGTCATTCATAAATGGTGGAGATGGAGGTATATTTATGAACTTCATTGACACCCTCCTTTGTGGTGTAAAGTTTCTCTAATTTCTACATGTTATATAAGTAATATAATTTAGCTATTTGCATACGTTAATTTCCATATATTGCCAATGACTAGATGAAGTTGTATTGCAGCTTCCTGGCATCACTACGTATCATTGTTTGTCGACTTCTATCTTTAGTCACCTTTTGGGTGTGAATTCTTGACTATATCATTATTTCTCCGGTTCTGTATTGTGGATGCTTTCTTGATGGAAACGTTAAGAGCATGTTTTGGAGTGCACACAACTTTATCGATGGAGTTGCGTGTCATAGTTTGTATCTTTAGTTTGCCCAAGCTATAGTCACGGGCATGCGTCATTCTTGTGCTTTCGATGAATTCTTTGCTGCATAAATTTTTTTCCGATAAGTAAACATATTGCTGCATATCTGCATAATCAGAAAAATAAATTGCTGCATATTCATCATATTTGTAGTCTGTATGGTCACTGGACCTCATAATACTGTAATCTAGCTTCGCCTGAAGGATTTGACTTTTTCATTAGTACATGCACATGCATAGGTTAGCTTTTCAGTCAACGCAGAACTGTTTACTTCTCATTTCTACAAGCCCCTGACATTGGATGATTTTTAACCAACATTATTGTTTTGAGAACCTTGGTCTTGATTCTGTGTCTGACAAGTTCCTTCTTTTAATTGTATCATGGTACCTTTTTTTTGGCAGACTCAAAGGGAGTGAGAGAAACAAAAAATAAAAAGAAAACTCGAGGGAGAAAAGAACAAGCTAGAAACAATTCTCCAAATAATGAAGCTGGAAACTGTAATAAGGTTGGCATCTCGTGGACTCTAGGTTTCTTTCTTTTATTTTTTCTGCTCACTTGCGTGTAAAAGAGAGGAGAGTGTGTTGCTCAGAACTATCTTTATTTGTTTTGATCCGATCCTTGCTGGTACTCAGGAATCTAGTTGCCTTGCATCTGGCTGCCTAAATGGTGATATCAGCGACGTGTCTTCTCCGAGTAGAAATTCAAAGCTGCAAAACTCGGCATCTGCAACGTTTCCATCTAAACTCGACTTTGATGACTTTGATATGGATGATGAGTTAGATCCAGTAATGCAGGAAAAAATTGACAGGTTTGCTTATCTTGTATAGTGTTCTAGAGATAGATGTGTTGTTCTACTATATGACATGATTGCATTTCTGATGTTAAATTGTTGAGTTTTAGTATATGTTTATGTTTTTTTTTTTTTTTTGATAAGGTAAACTGTATTAATCAAAAGGGAGAAAACTCCCTTATACAAGAAGTATACCAAAAAGTAAAGAATTTGCATCAAAACATGATTCTCTACAAAAGACGCCCAATCTTCTATACAAGCAGGGGCTATATGAGTGCACCAAAAAGCGATCAAAGATAAAAGACTATTCTTAAGATGTGAAAAAGGAGACTCAATCCCCTCAAAAGCTCTCCTATTTCTCTCTCCCCAAACTATCCACATGAGAGCTAACGCGGCGAACTTCCACGCCTTTTGCTTTCTTCTTCTACGGAAACCGGCCCAGCTATATAACATTCCTTTACGGTGCTTGGCATCACCCATTGAACACCAAAAAGATTCAGGATTGCCCTCCACAAACCCGAGGACACAGGACAATGCAACAAAAGATGATCAACTTCTTCCCCTGAGCTTTTACACATGTAGCACCAACTAACAAGTGTAATTCCTCCGATTCTTTAGGTGAAGGGAAGACTAGTTCCCTGGTGGTAAAGCACAGTTTTTATTCATGAAAAGCTGGTTTTTTTTGGCTTCTCTCTCTCTCTCTCTCTCTCTCTCTCTCTCTCTCTCTCTCTCTCTCTCTCTCTCTCTCTCTCTCTCTCTCTCTCTGCTTCTTCTGGACTGTTGTGTTGCTTAGTGAACTTACTGACAGTGGCTTCTGCGGAGGTTGCATACCTGTCTAAGAAGCTCAGTGGAACTATCTGTTTTTTTTAATAAGTAACTATCGATATCCCTTCTTTCTGGCAAGACTGAAGGATTTGCATACTTCAGGGCATAATGCATGGCTTAAAGGTTAATAATTTAGCCTTTATGCGCATAACTAAACCCCCACCCTCCCACCCCCCAAAAAAAGTAAAGAAAAAAAGAACCAAAGATGGAAAAAGGGTTAAGATAGAATATTTATCTTCCCAAAATCCCATGGAGAGTTTTTCCCCGTGATATAGCTCCCCTGGTTTAAAACTCTAGATTCTATATCTGGATCTAATATGGGCACACCTTTGATGATCTGTCTTATCTAATTCCATGAATTTCCTCGATTTCTTTGTTTGACCTGCTTCCTTCGTGCAACCCCTGCTGGCACTAATTTCTTGCCTGGTTTCATATTCTGTTTGTCTTTCCTAAACATTGTGCAAACTGCAAGTTAATCAACATTATTATGCTCGCGTTCTTCTAGCTGGAATCTGCTTACATATCATAGTATATGGATTTATTTAATCAGTGTAGAACTGTCTTCTCATCCACGAGTGATGGTGTATGGATAACAACCGATAAATCCTTAGTTATGTAGCAGAGGTTATTTATTATCATTGAATATGTAGTAGTTCCATCAGAATTCTGTCTTTGGAGAAGGGGCTTGTTCTAGTCTCCGTGTGTGTCTCTAGCAATTACTATCTATTACAGAGAGATGCTTTCCATATTACTCTTAGCATGGGCTTCTATGGCAAGTTTTCTTTTAACTATTCCAATGGTAAAATATGGGGTTTGTAACTTGATTCTGAATTTCTAAATTGCAGGGAGGTTGAGGATTTTGCTCGGCGACTAAACTGTGACTGGCCGGAGATTTTGTCTTTGGCTCCAGAGAGGAGGCTTGGACCAATTTCCATGAATGGAAATGGTTCCTTGAAGAGATGTACAGGTAAGATTTTACACTTCTTGAACCAAACATTTATAGAGAACTTAGAAAAAATGTAAATATTCTTCAGGAAAGATCTTGCTGAGCTGCAGTGAAATAAAGAATTCAATCCGTAGGTGATTGTAATATGCCAACAAGTACAATAATTTTTAGGCTGTTTTAAGAAGTTGAATTAAATAGTAGAATCTTAATCGTAAAAGAATATCGTAGTATGGAGCTGCCATGATTGTATCTGACATTTATTATATACCTAATGAGACAATGCCTCGGTAGTGTCAGAAATGGTTCCAGATTTAATGCAGTATAGCATTTGATTTGTTTGCATTTCCCTCAAAGAACTAAAAGCATTCGTTGAAGTCAAAACCCTCTCTCTTTTGTTTAACGTATGTCACATTTCTGATTTCCCACAGCGATTTCTCCTGGTTGATTCAGGGTGATCTTTAACCTAGTTTATTTCAAATTGTTGCTGTGGAAATTAGGCTTATAAGTAGTCTTATTGCTGCAGCTGACTTTTTGTAGTCAGAATTTCGATGGTTCTTTGGAGTTGACATACTAGGGAAGTAATTTAGTCTGAATGCTTGTAGCTCCGTGCATGATTTTTCGCATGGCCCTGTCATTTCATTTATGAATCGTTGCTTCTAGAGCTGGGAATGTTTATTAAACTTCGTGGCTAATTTGTGGTTGTGAACAATGATTATTTGTTGATTGTTAGCTTTGCACCTCTCCTTGAACATTTTCCACTCTAAGAAAAAAGAAAAACAGAATCACCCGAATCAATATAAGATGACTTGATAAAACAGATGTCTGCATTGTGCAAGAGAAATAAAAAGCTGACTGTTTTGTGCTAGAAGCTTGTGTCTCATTGGGAGTCTATAATCTTTGCAGCAGGTGTGGACCGAGGATAATGGTTGAAATGGTGGATAATGCGTCTTTTAGATTCAGCTTGAGCTTAACATGCTAGCGTGTCTGTCTCCGCTGTTTGCAACGATGGCTGGTAATGTTTTGTTGTTCATTGCATGTAAAGTTCTACCGTCTTGTCAAGCTGCCAAAAGTGAGTTCTTGTCGCTGTTTAAGCCGAGTGCTCAAAGTGTAGGGAAATATCAAAATAGAAGGAAAGTTTTCGTTGTTTGTGGTTTATGGTAACTTGCATTGCATTTGCCATGCATTTCCAGACACTGAGATACAGTTTCCAATTTTGCAATAGATTCCAAATTTCTTTAAACCTGGTTTTCTATCTTCTCTGATTTGGTTCAAATGGCTGTTGTAATTCCTCCTCCAAG